CGTTTTTGTAGGCATTAAACTGCCAGAATTTTAAAAGACGATATCTCAGTTTGCATTGAACTTTCAGCTTCGTAACTTTGCAGATATTGTTTATGCTCAAACAGCAACATTACACACTAACTGACGTTAAAAAAGTGAAATCGCAATCAACCACCCCTTTAATGTCTCACGCAGAACCTATCTAGTGTCTAGTGTCACTAAATGAAATGGATTTTTGTGGATTTCCCCTCAGATCTGGGACATCCGTTCTCTGGAGTGTGTCCATGTGCTCCAGACCTCTGGAGGCAGTGTGTACTCCATTGCAGTCACCAATCACCATATAGTTTGTGGCACCTACGAGAACCTTATTCATGTAAGTAGTATTAATCTCTTACGCCCTGCAGAGCTTTAATTGCAAGGGTAATAATCATGGAAACCTGAAAATGTCAGGACATCGTTAAAATTGTGATTTCTCATCTTTCCCTGTGAATAAGGTTTGGGACATTGAGTCCAAAGAGCAGGTGCGGACGCTGACGGGCCACGTGGGCACAGTGTATGCCCTGGCCGTCATCTCAACCCCCGATCAGACCAAAGTGTTCAGTGCCTCCTATGATCGCTCCCTTAGGGTAAGGACAAGGCTTGGGTTTGGGGTATGAAGTATGGGGATTTGTGCCACCTCTTTTGGGCATTGATTGTTGTACCTGTGCAGGTGTGGAGCATGGACAACATGATCTGCACCCAGACTCTGCTGCGGCACCAGGGCAGCGTGACGGCGCTCGCCGTGTCCAGAGGAAGACTCTTCTCTGGAGCTGTAGACAGCACTGTAAAGGTCAGAGACTCGCACAATGAGTTCGGGGATACTGCTTTCAAACTGTAGCTTGCCAAGATATGGGCTACCTCTTTGTACTTTAAATGATGTGTACACAACTGTTCAAACGTTTGTGGTCGGTAAGACTTTATCAATGTTTTTGAAAGAAGTATCTTAATGTTCACAGAGTCTGCATTTATTTGATCAAATATACAGTGATATTGTGAAATATTATTACAGTTTTAACTGTTTTATATTTTAAAATGTAATTTGTTCCTGTGATGCAAAGCTGAATTTTCAGCATCATTAAGGTCCTTGCACACCGAGAATTTTCTTATGCGTTTTTTTTGTTTTTACGGGGGTTTTTTTCATATTCATCATCCTTTCCTATCAAAATGTTTGCTATGGATGCGAAAAGGCAGAAAATTGAACCTGATCTGAATTTATGACAGACAGGCAGTGTGTAAACGTGACTGGCACAACGTGAGGTCACATTTATTTTTTAACGTGCGAAAATTTTGGACGAGATTTTCAGACTCGTGTGCAAAGACTTTTACTCCAGTCTTCAGTGTCACATGATTCTCCAGAAATCATTCTAATATGCTGATTTGCAGCTCAAGAAGCACTTCTTAATATCATCAATGTTGAAAACAGCTGCTTAATATTTTTGTGATTTTTTTTTTTTTTCTTTTTTCTTTGAATAGAAAGTTCAAAAGAAGAGCATTAATTTAAAACAAGACCATGTACACTATTCCTTGAACCTTTTGTACTGGAATCAGATCTTTCACTGTGTATGAGCTCTAACAATTTATTCTGTTTTCTCTTCTCAGGTGTGGACGTGCTAAACGTGACCGCTAATCATTATTAGTCGTCAACATGTTGAGTAATGTGTCTCTAATCTCCTGGAACTCAGAAACCACATGGACTCTGATGCACGGACTTATAGTATGAATAAGAATATTATTCAAGAAAACATTACAACATGCGTTGGACCAGAAATGTTTTTATTCTGTACCCTATGGACTTGGGCATCTGTCCCTTGTTAATTTTGCAGTAAACTGTTGCTGGATGGATGTTGCTCGTTTGCTTTCCTCTTACCAGACACCTCTTGACCGCAAACAGAACCTCCAAACCTTCAGTATTTATGAAGGCCCAGCGGACCGCCAACATTTGTCATAAACATGACAACACTGTATTTTATGTATTCACACACACGATTGTTTCCTATGAAAGTATTATTTAGATTTGGTAAGACTTCCAGTCTAAGGTCATGTTCCCTGCAGTCCATGGAAAAGTTGCTGCGTCAGTGGCCTCAGCGATGACTGTTGAACTTTGACTTTCATGAGCTGCAGTCTCACGACTGAGTGAGTGCCTAAGCTTCAGTCTGACGCCAGTGGAGATGCATGGAGCGACCATCATCCCAGGGCTGAATGAAGACCTACACTACACCAACTTGGGCCTGAAACAGCAGAGCATTGTTCTGGACAACACAGTACCCATGTTTTTATCTCAGATTTGACAGTGCCAACAGAACGGCTCAGATATTTTCTAACTGCCTGTTGACCGATGTGAAACCTTTGTATGACGCTGTAATGACCTACTCATCCATCATGATCTTGTGTAAATAATGTGATGTTTCCTTACCAAAGGTGCAACAGCTTCATGCGTGCTTCCATGTTTGCCGTGGAAGCCAGATTTTGCCCATGCAAATATAGTAAGACTTTTATAATGTAATTCATGCTAGTTACTAAACAATTTTGAACTGAATAACAGTAATTAGTTTGTGTAAAGCACTTAGCACCCAGCATAACTTTGAAGAGGTCAATGGCGGGGAAGGGAACACTGTGTTGCATTAATGTGAAGTTGAGTTCCTCTCTCAGCTTAAACTGATAATTCGCCCAAAAAAAGAATCATCTAAAATTAGTCATCTTTTACTCATTTTCATGTCGTCCCAAACCTGTATGACTTGCTTTCTTCTGTGGAATATATTTTTTATAAATGTTTTTTGTCCATACAATGCAAGCAGTGGTAACCAAAATTGTTCAAAACCTTTATGTAAAATGGGTAAATTGACAGAACTTTCATTTTTGGGTGAACTGTCCATTTAACCTGAAGTGTGCTAGATAAGTCAATGCTAATCTAAGACCAAAGGCATAAAAACGGATGCTATTTTGGATATCAAAGTGCCTTTTTGTGGCATAGAGCTACTCGATCTAGCTCTGCACATTTAGGACAAGATTGCAGCAGCGTTTAATTTTTTTCTCCCCTCATTAAGCTGAGAGAGGATATGAGCTTGAGACTCTGTTCCAACTGAAAACAGTTACTTGTATAAAATCCATAAACTTTTAATGCTTGTATTGAGTGAATTGGAGTCTTTTACTCACACATAATATGGCATTGACTCCCTCTAGTGTCCTTAATGCATTTTGAGTTGAGAAATAAACCTGCCAAGGGCTGTGTGGCCCTTTGGTACAAGCTTGGTAGTTTTTTGAGGAGTGCTTAGTATTTTATGTTAACTAATGAAACACTATGGTGTTGAGCAGTTTCCAGCTGGTCTTGGTGTTCAGTAATTGGACGGCTATGAGAGCGTTTGTATATAATGTTTATTTAGAGCAGGTGGCTGTTGATGCAGTCACTGCAAGCACACCACTGTTCCCAATGCCAGTCACAGCAGGTCTCATACAAGTCAATGGCAGAACATCAACACAATATACAGCCTGCACACACTGAGCAGTGCAGATTTCTTTTTTTCTCTCTTTTTTTAAATGTCTCTGCAAATAGGATGGAATTGAAAACAGCTTTCATTATTAAATAACATCTTGCACCAACAATAAGTTTGACTTCAGTGTTTTCAGAATTTCCTTATTTTTCATTGTTTTTTCCCCCCCTCTGGCATTAAAAGAGACGAAAGAAAAAACAAGCAAACATGACAATAAGTAAATGACGGAATGAGAATTTTAAAGTGGAGAAAACAAGTTTTTAAAAAGGATGAAGATTCAGTGGCAAACATCCAGCTATATATACAGAAGAAGGGGGACAGGGCCGTAACAACTCAATTAACACTGGATCGACACCCAGTCCTTTGAAGCGATGAGCATGATAAAGCTTTTATAAAAGCCATTCCCATGCCAGACATCTGCGCTCTGTCCACAGAGCAGATCGCAACAAAAAGGGATATAATTCTGAACATCTGATGGACAAAGACCGGCCACATATCCTCTACACATTGTTTAAACATGAAAAACAAAATGAAAAGAACTAAAGCAAGGCACATACATGTTTTTAAAAAAACAACTTATTCCATCTGAAGACATGGCAGTCAAAAAACTTATCACAAAAAGCTACCTTAAAAAAGAAAGCTGGAGTTCTAAAAAAAAAAGACCATTTACAATTCATTTAAAACACTTTTATCTCAAATATTTGCAGTTTCATCAACAAGCCCTCTTGATGCTGCATCATTAAATACTTGTTGAAAACATCTATAATAATCTCTGTTCATAACTTAAATATTACAAATATTCTTCTGAGAACCGGAGAAGGGGTTAAGCATATATGGAGCTACTGAAAGTGTGTAAAGCATTGTGGGACCTACTCAACTACTTTTCTTGCTTGTGTCCCCTTCCTTTGGGCCCTTTCTTTAATTACATTTAAGATCATTTTGATACTGTGACGATTCTAATAATGAGCAGGCAGATTGTCATGGCAACAAAGACGGTTAAAGATAATGAGAGACTGTGAGTTTGCTGATAATGACATTCAGAGGCTTGCAAGAGGTTCACTTGTGACCGGTGCTGTCATAACGGCGAACTGCGCTCCCACTGTAAATGAGAGAGCATGGCATCTGGAAACATCTTATGTCCACAGAGACCAAACTTTACAACTGTAAAAGCATCACTCAGTCTACCCTCAATGTGTCCCTATAAAGTGAATATGCTTAACCTAGATACTGCTATGTTTTTCAGAATAAGTTATGAACCCAAGCTTAACTGCATCTTGGACTGGTGTTCTTACTTTGGTCATTAAGGAAATGTCTGTCTGGATGATATTGGGGGGGAATGCAAAACAAAGCAGGCACACCATGGTACATTCACACCCTTAAACAGCCGCTGAGCGATGTGCTGAGATTAGACTGCATGCAGGCTTCCAATGGAACTACACCTGTCCAAACTCACAGACCCTTAAGCTAAGAAGATTCCTTGGGTAGGTGGAAATACTGAGCATCAAGCCACATCAACATTTGCGAAATCCTTGTTAGTTCACTGTCAGTCTGTACATGCATGTTTCTTTTAGATTCCTGTTTTATGCAACTCACACACACATTTGCAACTTCCTCACTTTGTGCTTCCTGACGTCCCACTTTCTGCAAGCCGTCAACCTTCAATGGACCCTTTTACCTTGTTCTCGCCTGTGTATAGTCAAAGTCAACATAACCCTATTAGATGCATGATCCTTAGGCGACTTCGAGGCCTAAACTGTTTATCACCTTGCTGCAGATGACTGAAGCATGGAGATGTCCAAGAATGAGGTCACTCCTCTCCAAATCAGAGCACACAGGGTAATGCCTCCCACATGGACATCGGACCTTTCTCAGTTTGAACCAGTTTGCTTGTGTGTGTTAGAAGCACTGAGGTCACCTCTCATGTTAAGGCACACAGGACACTGCACATGATGAGGGCAGGAGGAGAAAGAGGGCAGGTGAAGGAGGAAGGCTGTGCAGGAGCAGGAGTGTATGCGTTCACACAGGCAGAACGTGAATGGAAACAAAGGGTCACAGCAGCACAGAGCGGGAGCCCAGAGCACGCACAGAGCAGGGGGTGAAACAGCTACTTCAGTCACTTCACTACATTCAACACAGCCCACAACACTCTTCAGCAGAGCACAGCCAAACATACAGGATGTTTATTAATCTTTTTTTTAATTTTTTTTTTTTACTTCAATATAGTCTTAGAAAAATCCACATATCTGTCATCAAAGTTTATAGATTTCTTAATGTTTCAACACTGTATGTACCATTGAACATTAAATAAAAACATAAAATATTTATATTTATTTATATATATGTATATATAACTGTACTAATGCATGACTCTCACTATGAGATTTTTTTCTTTAAAGATACAAACTTTCCTCATGCTTACAATATACACATACCATACTATTATTTCATATACAGTTATTATTGTTTTCGTATTATTTTACTACTCATTGCTCATGGTAGATAGAGATATTAATTGACAGAGAGTTGAGCTTTATGTATTAAAACCCAACCTCTGCTCTCCACCCTCTGCTCTGTCTTTGATGTTTAAAGCCCTGCCCAGTCCTGAGGTACATCAGCTCGGGTTTGTGCAAACCAACTCGGAGGGAGAGAGGAGAGATAGGCGTTTCATGGTGACGGGGAAGGGGGAGGAGAAAAGAGGGGTGAGAGGAGCCAGGGATGAGGATTAGGAAGGGATAGGTGGGTTTGTTGTTGGTCATTGTGCCCTTGTGCTCTCCCGGGGCCCTGAGGTTGTGCCACAGAGACACAGGCTGTGCTCTTCACTCCAGCATGGCATCCAGCTGGTCGGCCAAGTCATCGAACATGCTGCCGATGTCGTCTAGGATGCTCACTGTGCTCTTGTTTTCCGCCAATGAGCTGTGGATCAAAACACACACACACTTAAATATAATTTAGGAATTTTAAAAAATGTGGCTGCAAGTGACACGAATAGATTTCTTCGGTCAACACATCCCCAGTGGTGAATTTAAGAGAAAAGTTCAAAAGTTTTAAAAAATTTGCCCTTAATTATAAAATTTGGTTTGCTAACATGTTATAGCCAGTTCTGAAAATGAAAAATATTTAAATTACTATAGTATCCTGATACCATCACTCACCGTACTCAACCTGATGGTGAAAAAGTGTTTCAAGTAGAGATGTCCCAATCAGGTTTTTTGTGCCCCCGATCAGAGTCACTGAATATTGAGTATCTGTCGATACAAAGTCCCAATCCGATACTAGTATTTTTCTAGTGCTTAGGGCACATTTCAAGTAAATTAAAGTTATTAAAATCAATCCAATGTACACATGGATGTGCAGAGAGTTTCTCAGTCACAGGGGCTCAAATGTATGTACCATGCGAAAATGGAGATAAGGTTAGAAAGCATGAAGCTTGCAGTGTCAGAATGCCAGTCTGTCAGTCAAGTCCGAAACAAGACGCAACCCAAAGCAACACGTTATGACAGCGATGTCTCAGACAGTCTGATGGCAGTTAAAAGTAAACGGTAAATAAATAAGATAAATTTCGAGTGTTTTGTTACTGAAGTGCACATCAAAAATGCTAAACATGGAAGATCGAATGTGTGTGATGCATTGGAACAGACCTCATTGTTTCTCGCAAATCACACGCACATTTTGGCGTCTTTTTTATTTTAATGGAGGTTGGCAAACCTACCACAAGGTGCACGTCGCCACCTACTGCACAAAACCAGCATGACAGCTGATATAAAATAAGGATCGGGCTCAGGATAGCCGATACCGATCAGTTAAAAAACGCTTAATCGGCCCAATCATCTTTGAGATCGACTCGAGACATTCCTACTTTAAAGTTTTTGCTTCTTAATAACCACAGATGTGGCCTCAAAACTGCTGACTTGATTTGAAGGACTTGAGACTAGAACAAAAAAAAGTTAGAAACTACTTGAAATTAAATATTAAGATTCCTACAGGAATGTCACTGAAAACATTTTTTGTATGTTTCGTGACACTCACTCTTTTTGCCCATCCTCCTTGATCTTCTCTTCGACTGCCTGCAGGGCTGCAGCCAGTGAGGCACTGGTCTCCTCTATCTTCTGGTGCACTGCATCTACTGTCACTACCCCTGTGATAAACGCTGATCCAGCTGAACTGTCCATGGACACCCCACTGATTGAGGAGCGAGGGGGCTTCACAGGTGGTGGTGTAGGGATGGGGGTTGGGGGACCTGATGTCTGGGGAGTTTGGGGTGTCTGTGGGGTTTGGGGTGTTTGAGGTGTCTGTGGGGTGTGAGGAGACTGGGGTGTGTGTGGGGTCTGCGCACTCAATGCTGGTGGGGTTGTAGCTTTGACAGGGTGGTTGTTCTGGGCAGAAGCTGTGCTGGCCATTCTGGTGACAGTCTGCTTGGCTGGAGAGGGCGTGGGAGTGGGATTAGGTGTCGCATTTAAAGACTGCAGAACATTTTTGGATGGTTTGGGAGCTGTGGGAGGAGGTGTAGGTTTTGGTGAAATTGGAGGAGGTACTTTCTTTCCTTCAACTGTAAATAGAAGAAAAAGAGATAGGGAGAGAGATGGGAAAAGAGACTGAGCAGAATTTGATGCAACAAGGTCTAAATGCTACAGAGTTTTACGGGATACTCACATAATTGTGTAAAGACAGGGCAAGTGAAAGGGCCGCACTGTGTAGTACCTGGGCTGCCAGGTGCCCCAGTTGGTCCAGGAAATGGGGCTTTCTTGGTGATGGCAGCCGGCGGTCCTTGTTTCTTCATGTGCTGGGCCAGAACAGGTTTGGGGGACACCGGAGGTTTGACGGACTTACGAGGGGCACTCTCAGTAACATGGCCTTCCAGGTCTGCACTGTCCCGACGAGGCGAGTTCTCAGGATGTTCCTGTGGCCTGGGCTGCTCTGAAACAGTCACCTCTGACACAGGGCGCCTTTTAATGGTGCCAGTTCCATTCTCATATGGTACAGGCATCTGCCCATCCTGGAGTTCTTCTGTATCTTTGTCTTTGTTCTTGGGGCGGCGCTTAACTGTATTTGACTCTGTGAGTTGGAACTTGGTGCCATTTGGTTGCTGCTTGGTGCTCTGGACCGGCCTTTTCAGCGAGGCTGTGGCATCCACAGGTGAAGGGTCCTCCTGGGGTAAAGAGTATGACATTTCTAGTCCCTCCTCAGTCTCATCTTTGCCCTGTCTAGGTCTTTGTTTGATAGTGAGGTTTCCATCCTCAGCAAATGGAAGGGTCTCTGCTGAGCTCCCACTAGAGCTTGGCTGGGTTTCATTGCGTTGTCTATCCTGGACTGGCTCCGGCTGTGGTCCTCGCTTAGCAGCTGCTACTAACTCAGTGACCGGCCCACTAATAGTTCTGCGACGGTTCACTACTTCTCCATCCAGACCAATGGCATCACGCTGCTTTCCTCCTGCAGAACCCACCTGAAGAGAAACAATCTTGTTTTACTGAACTAGATATTGCCAAAATACATTTCTATGATAAATACTACAGTGGGGAAAATATTTATTTGATCCCCTGCTGATTTTGTAAGTTTGCCCACTTACAAAGAAATGAAGGGTCTGTCATTTTTATGGTAGGTTTACTTTAATGTATAGAGATAGAATACCAACCAAAAAATCCAGAAAAAACACATTATATAAAGGTTAGAAATTGATTTGCATTTCAGTGAGTGAAATAAGTAAAAAAAAATTTTTTAAAAAAGGCAACAAAGGAGTGGCTCAAGAAGAAGCACATTAAGGTCATGGACTGACCTAGC